AAAATTTATGAAAAATGTATAATAGTTATCTCTAAAATTGATAAGAATTGATTTAATCTAAATTTTGTTGCATTCATCATGCAATAGACAATAAATATAATAGATATGTTTAATAAAAAAGATAAAAAAATATAAAATGTATAATGATTGTTATAATCAGAATATATATCTATATTTTTAATAAAGATATATTCCTTTTGATGTACTCTTTTTTTTTTTAAAACTATTTTATCCTTATAATTTATATATTATATCTCATTTACCCATTATAATTACTTAAAAATTGTCTCCTATAGTTAACCACTAACTATTATTTAATATTAATCAATTTTATTTTTACATCATTTTTATTTGTTTAAAAGTACATGAATGAAATATTTTTTTACGATAGTTAATAATAAAGGGAATTACTCTATTTTTAGTACACAATTCCTTTACCTATTTTATTCTTAATAACTGTTAAAAAATTGTAGTAATATAACAACTATCACAAAAAATTTACCTTCCTTATTTTTCACATAAGCATAGAATGTCTTTCTTCTACTAGTTATAATAATATTTATAAAACATAATTATATATTAATAATGAAGGAGATTATCAAACATGTGGTTGGCACTGCCGAGGTTGATTTCATTAAATACAACACTAATGGAGGTGCTCATGGCACTCCTAGCAGCCAATAGTGATATTTTCTAAGATAGTAGTGAGACTTTTGTGGGTGAATTTGTTTACTATATCAAAGTAAAATCTACTCTTCAAGTAAAGCTCACAACTATTATATGCTTATGATTGAGCATGCTCATAAGATAGGTTGGCATAGGATATGGTTGGGATGTGATTCAACACTTGCTCTTACAACTTTTGATAATGTGCATCTTGTTCCCTAGGATATTTGTTGTTGATGGAAGCGATGCCTATCTCTTTGCTCGCAAATGCAATTTTCCTATTTTCATATCTATAAAGAACGCAATCAATGTGCTCACAAATTAATTGACTTTGGGTTAGAAAATAAGTGTAACTTTTTGTGATGGGGTGTTAAGCTTTCTTTCATTAGGGATTTTTATTTTATATTTTGCAATCATTGTGGTCTATCATCTTAAATTTTGTTGATTTGTTCATGATTTTGGTTTATGTCCCGTATATATATATATATATATATATACTCACACGTACACACACGCATGTACATACACATATTTTCTCATTTAGTGTCCACTGCTTTAGATAATTTTACCATTATAACTACTCTTTTATATATAAATTATAAAACTTTTTTTTGTAAAATTCACTCTATAACTATTAGTATTTTTAATAATCACCCACTATTATAAAATTTTTATTATTTAATATTTACACACATATATTGTCCCATTTAGTGTCCACGTTTTTAGATAATTTTACCATTATAACTACTCTTTTATATATAAATTATAATTTTTTTTTTGTAAAATTCACTCTATAACTGCTAGTATTTTTAATAACCACCCTCTATTATACAATATTTATTATTTAATATTTTTTTAAAAAATAATTCAGGGAGGCCCAGGGCACCTTTTGTATGCTAGTTTAAGATAAAAAGGATGATCTCATTTCATGTGCATAATTCTTTACCTATTTTACCCTTAATAACTATTTAAAACACTACCATAAAAAATATTATTTCCTTTGTTTTTTTTATGGAGGCATGAAGTGAGTTTTTTCTTCCTAATTAGAATAAAAATAATAATAAAATCTTCTATTCTTAATTATATTTTTATTGGGTCAAATATGTTTTTAATCCTCCAAAAATTGACTCTATTTGATTTTAGTGTTTCAAAAAAAGTTCTTGATTTTAGTCCTTTAATTAAATTTTTATAATATCTATTTTTAATCTTATTAAAAATACAGTTAGCTTTTGTTGTTAAAATATCCCACCTCAGCATTTAAATCACCATTAGTTTAACTAACATGTAATTTTTAATTTAAAATATTATTTATTTTATGATTAATTTAATTTAAGGGTAAAAACTAGTGTTACACTTAAAATTTTTCACTATTCATTCTAGAAGTGTTTTATTTTTTTTATTTCTCTATTTTGCTTTCAACCTCATTAGAAGAAGCCAAAGACCTCTCATTTTTTAAAGGTAGCACCTTTAAGCTTAGAGAGGGAGAAAAATGAGTGTTGTTTAGAATAATTTGCACGTTGAGAGGACTTTGAGAGTTGTTGAGAGTGAAAGGGTGTGTCAAAAATTGAGAATTTAGAATTTAGAGACTTGCTTGTAAAGGTGTGAAATTGAATGTTTATGTACATGGTGATGGCAGTGGAGAAAAAAAGTCTTGCTTTGAGTTTGTGAGAAAATTTTATTTGAATTTTGCGAGAAACTATTCGTTACGAAAAATGAATCATTAGAACCTCTATACTTCCGTCTCAGAGTGAATAGTAAAAAAATTTAAGTATAAAATTAGTTTTGTACTTAAAACTTTTCAATATTCATTCTAGAAGTGCTCTATAAAAATATGTATTTTAAAAAATTAAAAAATTTCATATCAATAAAACTAATGATGTTGAGGTAAACATATTTTAAAAGCAAAAGTTAATAATGTTTAAAAAGGATTCAAAAATATGTATTATAAAAATTTGGAGGACTAAAATATAGGTGTACTATTCGCGTCGAGAAGTCGACCTTGAGCTCGGCACTAAAGCATTAAACGACATCGGTTATACACCACATAAGATCGGCCAGAGCAAAGGCTCACTATCTACCGGGCCGAGGTCAACCTCAGGCCCAAATCAACGTTACCCTCGCCTAAGAAGAAAACCCTAATTTACATCAAGGTACGTGCACTATATATATGACACGATTACACTATCAAAGACTAACTTTAGCATCGGAGACTCTTTTGCAGGTACCACCCCGACTTCGGAACAGCCGACGTACTCAGTAAGGAAGGCTTATCAATCTTGCCTAGCAGATCGTCCCTCTCGACCGATCTCTGGTAAGAACATTTGGCGCCCACCGTGGGGCCGATCAAGAAGTCTCTTATGGGCCACGCTTATGGTTTTCACCCGAAGCCATAGTAGAAGAGCAACAGACGAACAAGATAACGCAACAAGAATGGAAGGAGAAGCGACATTGAGACGCCTGATCGAGCAAGTCGATCAAATGCGACAACAACACACCGCTAACCTGGAGAACATGCACGCCCGACACGAGGCCGATCTAGCGGCGCTACGAGCTGAGAACGAGCGCATCCGCGCCCATCTTCCTCAACGCCCCCTAGATCAGCCCCCTCAACCAAGCAACCAAAACGAGGAAGAACGGCAGTCGGTTTCCCTGCCACCGACTGCGCCTAGGGCAACGACCCATAGGTCTACCACACATCGATCACACGTACTGACATATCAATCAGACCATGAAGTCATCAATGCACCGGCCCAGGCTCTAGGACACAGGGCGAGCATCCGCCGTCACCCCTTTGTCTACGGCATCATGGAGACACCTCTCCCTTTTGGATGGAATCCCCTCAACATCGACTGCTACGATGCCACCACCGACCTAGATGAGCACGTCGATCTGTACGTCACACAGGTGAACCTATACACTAATGATGATGCTATTTTGTGTAGGGTTTTTCCAACCTCGCTTAAGGGATCGACACTCGCCTGGTATACTCAATTGTCAGCAGGATCAATTGATAGCTTCGACACTTTGGTGAGGTGATTCATGGCACAGTACGCAACGAGTCGGCCACATCACGTCACGTCCACCGCCCTGGCCAACCGGCGACGACGAACCATTGAGGAAATTCATAGAGCGATTTGCCAACATCTCCATCCAAATCCGCAACCTGAACCTCGAGGTCGCCCTACACGCCATGCTTATGGCACTCAAGCCAGGTCCCTTCGTCGACAGCCTTTGTCGACGACCTCCCCTGAACATGGACGAACTTCGTGCTCGAGTTGCCGGGTACATTCAAATAGAAGAGCATACGACGTTCTGTGACCAAATCCTGGGAAACCACAAGGGAAGCAAGACCGCGACCACAAAGAAAAGATGAGAGTCTCCAACGACACCCAATTCAAAAAGACTAGGCCGAACAAAGGCGGGAAGTACGACTTTTACACCCCCTTGAACGCACCCCGGGTACACATACTAGAAAAGGCGAGTAACATTGACCTGATTACCCTGCCACCCCCCGGACATAGCCTAAGCAGCGTCGACAAGACCAAGCACTGCCGCTACCATAGAAATTATGGTCATACAACTGATGAGTGCAGAACGCTCAAGGATCGCATCGAAGAACTCGTCCAAGGAGGCCACCTTGGACAGTACGTCCAACAGTCACAATCCCACAGGGGCGGCTACCACGGGCACGATCGAGGACGAGGAAGAGGCCGAGGCTCCAAGGCTCGGCCAGACCAACCCTCTGGATCCCAACAAAACATTGGCGGAGCAGTACACGCCGAGGTAAGCCATGACACAGGTACGACTCCCTTGCGGGGGGTCATCAATACAATTACAGGCAGATTTGCAAGAGGTGAATCAAGCAGCTCAGTGCGCAAGAGACACTTGCGAAGCATCAACAACGTCCACGCAGAATCCTCAACTCCTAAACGAACACGCTGCCCATCACTTTCACAGACGATGACTACGTCGGTGTCTGTCCTAACCAAGATGACCCCATGGTCATCGCGGTCGAAGTTGCCAACTAGGAGGTCCACAAGACATTAATCGATCAAGGCTCCTCGATCGACGTCTTATATTGGCCAACTTTCTTGAGGTTAGACATTCCCCACACTCTCATTCAACCTCACACGGAGCCCTTAGTCGATTTTGCAGGAAAACGAGTACATACTCGCGATTATGTAGATCTGTTGACTACCTTTGGACCGCCCCCCAACTCAAAGAGGATCATGGTTAGATACTTACTCGTCGACGCCAATACCCCGTACAACACCATCATAGGGAGACCGATGCTGAACCAGCTCAGAGCGGTGGTATCCACTCCCCATTTAACAATGAGGTTCCCAGGGGGTGATGGCCAAATAATCTCCATCAAGGCAAATAAGAGAACAGCTCGACAATGCTACGCCGAAAGTCTCAAAGCATCGCCACCAACAGAGGAGCAACGCTGGGATGAATCTCCCACCTTGGCTCACATAGCCCAGGCCGAGATCACTAACCTAGACCCAAGAGCGAAATCTCATGACAATAGACCAAGCCCAATTGACGAGCTAGATGATCTCCAGATCGGCAAACTTACCAGTCAATGCACAAAAATCAGCCAACAACTAAACCCAGAACTGCGACAACAGCTCGTAGCCGAAATCTCCAAGAATTCTGACCTCTTCGCGTGGTCCAGTGCCGACATGCCAGGTATAGACCCTCATCTCATATGTCACAGGTTGGCGATCCATAAAGAGGCCAAACCAGTGGCTCAGAGAAAACACAAAGTTGGAGGAGAAAGACGAGAAGCCATTGTGGTCGAAACGCAAAAATTGTTGAGAGCAAGCTTCATCCGAGATGTCAGATACACCACTTGGCTAGCCAACGTAGTGCTCGTCAAGAAACACTCAGGCAAGTGGCGCATGTGCATCAATTTCACCGACCTGAATAAAGCATGCCCGAAAGACGCGTATCCTTTGCCGAGCATTGACAGGCTGGTCGACGGAGGCTCTGGCCACGTCCTCCTCGGCTTCTCGACGCGGATAATACACAAGGAAAATATTTTTGAGGGACTAAAAACAAATAGAGTCAATTTTCGAAGGATCAAAAATATATTTTTTCCTTTTTATTTTAATTTTTGAAAAGGAGCATTCATCCTTGAGAAATAAGTGAAAATAATGGTAATAAATTATGATGAATCACATTAGTGAAAATTAAGTGAAAAAAAAAATTAGAAGTAAAAAATTAATTAATATATCAATGTTAATTATCAAAATCAATGACTATCAATTTATTTTAAGTTTTACTTTATTAAACTATTTAAAATATAAATTATATATTTATGTTTGAAACTTGTCATAAACCTTGTAAGATTCCTGAATTTAAAAGTAATACAAAATTGAATTAAAATATATATTAGTACAAGTGACAAAATTTGAATGTGCTTTATGTTTCAGAAAGTTCTTGTGCAACTCAAAAAAAGGAATTAAAAAATATTTAAAAAAAAATAAATTTAAAGACTTTCATAATATGAAACAGAATCATCTATTCAATTTTTTTTAGGATTGTCCCTGGAGTATCCAGGGCCAATAACAGTGACTAATCTCTTCGCTAGGTTGGAGGAGCCTCAAAGGGTGGGATAGTTGGTCCCAAGATTTAACGCGACTGCATACACAAGGTAGGATTCAAACCCCTGACCTTGCTTAAGCATAGATCAACCCCTACCGTTGAACTACACGCTTGGAATTAATCATCCATTCAATTGACCAACCAATAATGTAATAAGAAATATTGGTAACACAATCACCAAACATGAATTTAACAAAATTTTCCCAAAATCAAGAATACAACACAATTATAATATTATTTTTGCTAGTTTTTGATGGTTGGCAAGGGAAAGCGACACAAGGGACACACATGACTGGTTTCTAACCAAGACACAATACATTGTTGATGAAAATAATGATGACATGGCATGGTGTAGCACTCAGCATTGATCACCATTTCTTCCAAACAAATAGAACAACACTCACTACCCTGTGTCATAATTGTATATTTCTTCAACAACATTTGTATGGCTTCTTTAGAAGCTGGAACCATTTTAGGATACTGCAAAGGCTCTTCCATTGCTTGTTGAAGGTGATCATCAATTACAAAAATTCCAATCTTTATAGGAATCTCTCGTTGTTGAGATTCTGAAGAATGAAGAAGCCAAACAACTTCATCATCAACCTGGAACAATCGTCCAACAGAAGATACAATCATTTCTGTTATTTGATCAGGATTTTCCATGAAGATGTGTATGCTTGACAACAGTGAGATTAAGAAATCTTTACCCTCTTGAAAGAAATTATGGCATGGAATGGAATGAGAAGGAGGGTGGTATTGAAAAAGCCTAGGGTTTATACTTTCTGTGTTGGAAGAGTAATAAAAAACCCTAATGTTGAATTTGAAAATATCACCTGGCATAAGTGTGATGTGCTCATTGTTCCACCGCGACACATCAAAGTAAAAGCGTTGTGGTTCCATTGATTCTGAGTATGCTATGGAAAACAAGACTGGAACAATATTCTCACTATTCTGTGCAATTGTTTATTTATTTATTTATTTTTCACAATGAAACCAACCTCTATAAAAAGCGATACGTTTGTTGGTTTGTTTGAGATTGATGGATAGAAAGATAAATTATTTAATATCATTTTTATTTTTGGATATTAGATAGATAGATTGTTATAAGTTTAAAAATATTCACATCTTTTTATTTTTGGATATTAATTTAATAATATTCATATTTTTTATTTTGGATATCGGATAGATAGATGGTTATTAATTTAATTAGGGGTAAGTGCGTATCCAAATCAATCCAATGATTAAATGAATGGAATCTGATACAAAAGAAAAAATTCAGATTAGTATGAATTTGAAAACTGGAAATTTAATAAGTTTTGTTCGGATTTTGAATTTTGATTTTCATGAATTAAATCAAATCAATTTATCTAATTAAATATTATTATTATTATTATTATTATTATTATTATTATTATTATTATTATTATTACTATTATATATAATGCAAATGAATATTTTGCAT